GGGAAGCTCTCCAGGGGGAGGAGGCGTGAGGCAGAGCACAGAGGAAAATGGTGATGAAGACAACCTGTTTTTTGAGAATAAAAGTATAGTCACCTTTCTTTGGCTTAGAGAAATTTGCATTAGTATTGTTTACAGTAAACATATAATGAATATGTCATCTCTTTAAGCTGGCCATTATATAAATAACAGATGGCAGAAAACCAAAGTATGGCAAAGAACCAAAGCGTAATGAAAATATCTCAAAGAGAAATCACACGCTGGAGTTTTTGGCATTTTCCACTTTCCTGGGGACAGAAGACAAAAATGCTACACAAGTTTTCTGTGAAAACTCTCCAAGGCTAACGCTCATTCTTTGGTTTGTTCCTCCTTTTTTCTCTTAAGCAAACATTTAGTGTACAGCTCTAACATGGCAGAGACTGTGACAGCTGAATAAAATATAGGTTCACTGTTTTAAGAAGATCAAAGTCTTGCAAAGAAGCTTAACACCTAAAGAAGATGATTTGAATTCTGACCACAGCCCAGTTAGAAATACACATCACACTGCAACTCACCACACACCTATACACACATTCAAATACCCAAAGAAAACATTCGCTAAAATAACACTAACTTTTACTCCATGAAATACACGTGGATATTTTCTATTTCCTTTTTAGAAAACAATGCTGGTCTCATTAAACTCACGACCCACTGAAGGGTGAGAACTCAATGCCAGGCCCGCTGGAATTCAGCTCCCTCCCTGGCAGCCACCACGGCAGTGAAGGCCGTTCAAAGCGGCTACTAGAGCTCTGCAGAAAGCACCTGCACTGGGACCATCAGGAAGGTCTTTGTACAAAAATGTATGAAAAGCACAGAGTTACAAATCGCAGCTCTTCAATTTAAAATCTGTTCTCAGAGTAGAGATTTATAAATATTTACATGAAAAAAAATATTTCAAAATAACTCTCTGCTTAGTTAATAAGGTAGTTCTTGAGAATCTCCTTGGGCATAAAGAAGAGTGTAAGTGAACACAAAGGACAGAAATGTTCACTGGTCATTCTGCCTCGTGGGAGATCCTATCTGGAAGGACCTCAGAAACCTTCTATAGGGACTGGGCAACACAGCGGGCATGGCCAGGTGCTGTGCGTGGGCTGCATGCATGGTCCCAGTCCATCATTACTTCCACGCTGCAGGCTCAGGCGCCTGCCCAAGTTCATGAGCAGAAGAGCAGGACCAGACTTCATGTGTCTGCAGAAGGCACAGCTTTGAAAACTGGAGCACTTTTCTACTAATGACACCTGTCTCTCTTCCAGCCTCAACCTTGCACTGTATCTGGCCCCATATATTTAAAAAACAAGGTCAGCAAAGTTTTTAATAGCTGAACTTTAAAAAAAAAAAAGTACAAAATGGCAATAATTATGCAACCCCGTAAGTCAACAAAAGGTCACGTGCTAGGGAAATTTCCACAGCCAGCTCTTACCACATTCACTTTGAACCTACTACTATTGCTCTTAATCATTTGAAAACAAGCCCCCAAAGTAGTAAGTAAAAAGGCCAGCCTCTCTGTGGAGAATGGAGCAAGGCTTAACTCTTTAAAAATCTATGTTTACCTTTTTGACAAAAGTTTTCTGCCCTTTTAATGCCCTATGAAATTTCAAAATAAATAAAGCGTTACAGCTAAAATTAAAGCACAATGATTCTGAAATAGGCCTCTTGGAATGTGACACACCACCTCTGGCAATTCCAAATACCATCTTCCCATCACCAACAACAACTACCACCAGCCAGTCGAGGTCCTGCCAGTCAAGGACCATCTGGCTGGTAGAG